CAATCTTCCACTGCCCACAGCATCATTGCTCAGATCAAAATATGTGTAAGAAGCAGACTTGCCTCACTCAAACTCAGGAGTAGCTTAGAATTGAAGATAATCTCTTCTCCCTCACAGCTGCAGACTCTCTTCCATCAGGCCTGCTCCACAACTAGTGGTCAGCCATAGAACCTATTCTAAGCAAAAGAGATGATGGTGCATGGTTAAACACTGCCATGATAGAAGGATGGAGAAGGTGCCTTGTTTTTGCTGATATTGTCTTTGTTGTTATGCTAGTGCTTACTTTGTTGTTGCAAAAGAAGTTGTTCCTTTTGTTTTCCACCTTGTGGGATTGTATGTACACTTCGCACTTATTTATATATACAAGCTTACCCTTTTAAACTAAAAAATTTATATATATTAACACATGTCATGTACTTCTTGTTTGAAAACTGTTGAATTTTGTAATTGTTTTGAAAAAAGGATAATAGCCTTTGTTTTTATATTACAAATATGTTTTATTGCCTTTGCTTGAGAGGATTGCCCCAGTTATTGTATAAACTCTAAACTTCTATTTATTTTGGCATCCGATTGACAGTGAATTTGTTTTCACAGTGTATATATATATATATATATATATATATATTATATCGAAAAGTAAACAAATTATTTCCACAATATTATCAAAAAGAGACACTGGTTCATAACCGAATTCGTTTCAGATTCGTGTCTCAACTTTCGGTTTGAATTTTTTAGAAATCATTGTGAACAGTTTAGTTCTGATTTAACATGAAAATCGTACCAAATTGAATTGTATGCAACTACATAGATTTTTCATACATTTCCATCTACCCAAATATTAATTCGATGTGGTACTACTTTCTCAGTCAATCGAATAATTTTTCGTTTATGTACTGTGGATATTTTAATTGTGGAGGGGTTCAAGCTCAAATACTAATTTTGTCAAGCTGACACAAAAATTATTTATTTTTTTATTTTTTAAAAAAAAAGGAGAAGAAAACTGTACTGCAGAGTACAGATTTTAGTTCCACGACATGGTCAACTCAATTGTGCTTTCAAGGTACACTTGAGTTGAGTTCTGAACATATATTATTATATATTTGATAAGATAATTTTACAAAGAAAGAAAAGAAAATGGCATGCTAATGTTTTTTTATCATGAAACCCAAAGTAACAGCTCCGATATGGGTTTTTAGTTTTTTTACCTTGTGTTTTCTTCGTTTACTGAATCAGAAAATCGTATAAAAAATCTAGTTGATTACAATTGTTTTATAAAAATTCAATTATAAAAAAGTATAATTTCATAGAACTATTTTTTTTATAATTTTCTATTTTATGAATTGCTAAGAACTATTTTATGAATAACAAACAATTCAGTCCGATATATTTCACCAATAAATCACAACAGCGTTATCCCTTATTACCCTATGGTAGCAATCGTTATTTTATTTTTATTTTTTTTGTTCAATTGATACTCACACACACATGACTCAAACCCCTAATATTTCTTTGAAAAATAGAAGTCTAGATTCGTTGTGCTTTTGTCATCAAAATTCAATTACAAAAATGCATAAATGTTGTAGGACTTGAGTTCTCACCTTCCCCCTTTAAACATTTACTCGGTAATAAATATCATTAGATTATAATTTTTTTTAAAATTATTTAAAAGAATAGTAGAAGTAAAGTCTATTTTAAATATAAATATATTTTTGTACGTAACCTTGAAAAATTATTTAAAACAATACTAGAAGTAAAGTCTATTTTAAATATATATATATATATATATATATATATATTTACGTAACCTTGAAAAATTATTTAAAAGAATACTAGAAGTAAAGTCTATTTTAAAAATTATTTAAAAGAATACTAGAAGTAAAGTCTATATTAAATATATATATATATACACCCGTAACCTTGTGACATATACGAAAGCACCTAATATCACGTGTTGTACAGGAGACGTTGTACTGGTAGGTAAATGCATGGAAATCGTCCAGCTATGTTTGTAGGTGGCCCCTCCACTTCTTCCTTCCTAACTTTCTCATCAACCATTCTCATTATTATTATTATTATTATTATTATTGTTTTTATTATTTTGACTTTTAACAGTTTTGTCATACCATAATATACACATTTCAATTCCGTGTAGATCTCACAACGTGCATCAGCTCTTATTCCAATGTAAAAAACTTACTCTAACATGCAACTTTTCTGACACCTAATGGTAAAACTTTTCGTGCGTGTGTATATATATATAAATATATGTTAGCAGGGAAAGAGATTGAAAAAAATATCAAAATTAAATTCAAAATTAACCAAATCTTTTCAAATCAAAGTAGATAATTAAATTCATCAAAAGATATCTAGCCTGATGGTATAATAACTCCAACTTAAAAAATACAGACATACAAAATGAACAACCAAAAAAAAAAAAACCGAGGTTAAAACCTGATTGTGAGAGATAATAATAATAATAATAATAAAGGTGTGTGTTTTCTTGTAAATGAAAAAAAAATTCAAAAAATTTTAAATATTGAAAACATTGTGTTGATTTTGAATTTTCTTTAGATAAGTATCAAAACATCGTTCCTCAAATTCATTATAAAAAAATAATAATAATAATAAAATAAAATAAAATTCCAGTAAGAAAAAGGTAAAGCAATTAATTAAAAAATCTAATTAGGGATATGATGGATGTTTCATATAGGGGTCTAGATAAGTCCAAGTCAAAGGTAATGTCAAATCTGGCATCATACGTGTATCAGACAAAACAAGTACTACGTATTTCTATACGGAGGAGGACGACTTCATTATCAACTCTCTTTTTTCTTTTTTTCTTTTTTTCCATCAAGAAACAACTAAATAGTTTCTCACCTAGCAAAAAATAGTAATGAACATAATAATAGTTTAGCCATTAACCGTCTTCTTTTCCCAACTTGGTGTCAATATTTGTTATTTTCTGTTTCTGTATTGAAGATTTTTCTCTCTTCAAAACACTAATCCGACTCCATAAATCAAAAAAAATGTTACATGGTCTCGGAATTATGTAATAATTTTTTCATATATTACTGAAAAATTATAAAATGATCCGAATCAATCAGGAGAAGCTATGCAATCAAAAAATTAACATATTTCTTTGCATTGACCTTTCTTTTGAGACCATCTAATAATTTCTCATATAACATTATATAAGACGCGCGGTCACGCTCTATCTCTCTCACTCTTTCCCGGGAAAATGAACAGGTATAATTACCCCAGGGACCAACAAGAATACAAGCACGGCCACAGAAAATAAAAAAAAGAGAAGAGAAAGATATCTCACAACCTTGAGGGACCACAAGGCAAGCAAGCCAAGATCCAATCCAAACAAAAAGTGCTAGGCTGGAAAATCAACAAGCAATTAAGAGAAAAGCACATCTAACAAACACACCCGTTTGAGCATTTTCTCAAACAAGTAAAGTGCATGCATGTAGTTGTAAATCTGTGTACAAGGTAAATTGTGAATAGCTGGGAAGACAACAAAAATATGACTCAAAACCAGCTAACCATTTTGTTGAATAGGTAACATGCACGACAAATATGTAACAATATAACAATCTTTTTCAATAAAATGACTCAATACCCTCAATATGAAATATTTTCAAACTAAATTCCATCCCTATGAATACAATATTGAATCCAAAAAAATAAAATAAAAATTTGTTAAGATCATATAGGTTTCAACTTCATCAAATTAAGAATGGATATGCATGTAGCTAAGTTAGCAAAATGCCCACGTTCTTACCAAATAGATTATTTCTGTGAAAGAGAGGCTCGTTGCACAGATCAAATTTTGCTTCCCATTGTTAGCAGAATCCCCCAAGATTTCTGAAAATTATTTAGAGAGATGGGAAAGCTTTTCTTCCTTTTACATAAGAACGTAATAAAGTATAAATTGGAGGGGTAAAAATGGAAAATGATACTATCGAGAAATGATACTTTAAAAGGTAATGACTTTTTTTAGTTCTTTTACTTCCGTAAATGATCAAAATAGTATTGCAATAAATAGAAGGGTAGACATATTTTTTGTGGGATGAGGGGAGTACAATCGTAGCTAAGCGCGAATAAAACAACATGTAAGTCGCAAAGATGATTGACATGAAATTTATTTTTTTTTTTAGGTAAATTACACCAATCTTTTTTAAAATTTTGTTAATATACACTAACCTGACCTCCCTTCTTAATGCCCGCATTACACTGACCGTCCATTTAAAATTTGTTGTATTTGTAATTACATTTTTGTATATATATTATATTTTATTGCACTAACAATGTAATTTGAAAGTTACAAAATTGCGACATTAACATTTTTCATTTTTGACTCTGTTAATTGTTAGGTGAGTGTAATTTGACAAACAGAGTTATTGTATGTTGACCAAAGAGAAGTCAATGTAATTTGTTTTATTTTTTTTGCATGATATTTTCCAATTGTGACATAATCAGAGTGTGAACATCGAGAAAGCATGAGATAGAAAATAGGGGAGACGTGAGGATGAATTTAAATTTTAGAGCCTAAATTTATTTTGAAGTAAAACTTCAATTACAATATATATATATATATATATATATATATATATATATATATATATATGTAATTTTTATATATTTAAGGTTATACATTGTTTATGTAAAATAAAACTAAAATTTTAATAGATTCATAGTAGTTAACACAATTGCTTCGAAAATTTAGAATAAAATAATTATAGTACTTGAATTTTACTTATATATATATATATATATATATATATATATATATGTCTTATTTTCAGTCTTAAACATCAAATGGTTGGTATATCTTTTTGTTACAAGTTATAAATTACTGCCATAAATTTTGTTATTATTTCAGATTGCCTGTTGTGGACTAACCTTATGAAAGGTAAAATGCTATATTTCCGTCTGAAAACATGAAAAAAAGAAAGAGAACTGCAGAAATTGAAAAGTGAAAACCAAACCAGAGGGAGGGAAAATTCCAAACTGTACATTAAATTTGTTTAGACCTCAACACCAAGTCCTTACCATGTCACTTTAGAGTTTAGACTAATTAAAAAACACAACTAAAAACTGAACTGGATATTATTTACGGTTACATTGATACGACATTCAAGCTGTGCAATCAACTATTGTTACACATGCTAAGAAGCAGAATAGCTTAATCTTTATCCAGACACAGTACCACTAATTTAAAATCATGCACAAAGTTCATTTATAATACATGTGATGAATCGAATTCCTGGCCAACCGAATTACCAAGTTCCTTCCTTTGCCAGTTTAAGGAAATGGCAAAGGGTGATGTTTGGTAGCTCATACGAACCCGCTTTCTTTTTCTTTATCCTGGTCATCTTCGATAATTTCGTGCCCTTCGACTGTGTGACCGTGGCCGAGACCAGGTTGTAGAACTGTCAAAAGAGTTTTAGGAAATATTAGACACTAACAGAGTGAATTTTATACATTTTGTTTACAATCAATAAGGAGGTTGACGATTCAATGATAAGACTTTTAGTTCATCGATTTCCCTTATTTCTATTGAGTGCGAAAAGAAATTATGAAGACAGCAAATAATATCCCAATATGGTTTGGTTTGACCAATTGTAGCGAACACGATCATTTATAGCTCCAAATCCCAGCAAAAAATTAGAATAAAATAAAATAAGGCTTCATATTGATTAGCTGGTCAAATGGGAAAATATACCTCACAGACGCCATGCAGCAACAATCTATGAAAAGGATCTTGAACATGTAACACGAGTATTTCTCCATCTTTACTCTCGTTGATGAAAGCCCGTATGCATACCTAAAAGCAAAAGATTATAGCTCTTGTTCATTACACACATGTAATTAACTTGAATTTGATTAAGAAGAAATTGACGAGGTGTAGAACATGCATGAGATATATGACGAGAAACACATACAAAGGTTGACAAGTATATCAATTCATGGAGAGAAATGGTTAAATTACACAACTAGAGGAAGTACAAGCGCATTAAGAAAATGACGTGCTTATCCGTTTTATATTATATATATAATCTACCTCGTAACCATCAATCAGTTCAGAAAGAAAGCTCCGGCGAAGTGCCTCTCTGGTTCGAGAATCTACTCTATGCCATGCATTCAGTACAGCCATCTTGTCAGCATCCATACGAACTTTCCTCTTTGATGATGAGCTTTCAATGGCTTCAATCATCGTAGCCTGCCAGAACAGAACAAGGTAACTACTCTTATCGGAGTGTGTTACCACATTACATACCAATATTTCCAAAAAAACATAAAAGTGAAACATGTATTTTTTGTCATACTCATATGAGGGAAATATCATTTTTCAAGCACCAATCACATGTTCTACAAGAACATTTGTATTCCACATCCAGAAGAAACAAAAACACATAATATATCAATAATCTACAGCATGCAAATTGGTATAGGCTCCCCAATTACCCTAAGAATTTGCAAAAGACCAAAGATACGGTGTACACATCATGTCATCATGTCACCATAAAAAATCCTAACCACGCCCCTATTCATACATACTAATTTTCCAGCCCATTATACTCTAGCAATTTTTTACATGCGTTCCTATACAGTTTCTTCATCTTCAACCTATAATTTTTCAAAGCAACGATTGTCTTTTAGGAAGAAAAAAATAGCCAGAAAAGGTTGTAATAATTCTGCTAAGCAAGGTATTCTGTATTGTTCATAAAGCACAGCTAACTTATTTTCGGAAAGAAAGACACTGAGCTAAGTTTATTTCATTCTGAAGAGTTACAGAAACTGCTACTAACTATCGACAAAGAAACACCGAGGACGTGACAAGGTTATGAGTTTCCAAGAACCATTCCCAGGCTCTATGTTCCCTACTCTGAAATGCAACCTAATTCTTTAACTAAATTTCCTCAGGAAGAACGCACTAATAAGCACTAATAAGTTTCTTTCATTCTGAAGAGTTACAGAAACTGCTACTAACTATCGACAAAGAAACACCGAGAACGTGACAAGGTTATGAGTTTCCAAGAACCATTCCCAGGCTCTATGTTCCCTACTCTGAAATGCAACCAAATTCTTTAACTAAATTTCCTCAGGAAGAAAGCACTAATAAGCACCAGAAGCTATCAAGAACCAATGTCAGGAATATAACAAATTATACTGCAGTTAATCTAATTTCATGCTCAAGCAAAATCCTAGTAAACCAATTATTCTTGCACATACCTATTAACTGCAGTGTGTGACACATCACATTACCCAATTTGAACTACAAGCATGGCAGCCAGGTTTTTTTCTGAGGTTTCCTCAATCATACATAATACAATTCTAAATTTTACAAAAATAGAAATGCAGCCCATAGAAACACCAAAATACTTGCAGCAAGAGTGAGAGAAAAAATAAAGAGAAAAAATCATCCCACGCATTGTAACAGTTGGATAATTCATGTAGGTAACCATGTATTTATCATTGTCAATACCATTATATACCCTTCCTTTCAGTTCATTTATAAAATGCAATCCACTTTGGAAAATGAGTTGATTTCAAATCCAAAAAGTGAAAAAGCAATATGATGCAGGTCATAAACATTCATCAATTATTGAATTAAAGCGAGTCGCAGTGATGTCTCAATAATTAATTTTACTTCTTTAAGCATGTCTTGCAAGAATTATGAGGGAGTGAAACATGCTTTGGTGAATAAGAGAAGTGAATAACCTCTTTATCCATGTCTATATTCCTAAATTTGTCCCACTCCCCCACATTTGTCATGCAAAATGGTGACAGCGGTACATCATCACCTGTAAAATAAATTCCAGATTAATACTTCAACATGAACGGAAAATGATAGTTCACAAAAGAAGACCGCTGCAAGCAGGTACTAAGTCCTTTGCTTTCTAAAAATTAGCCATGCCCTGTGCGGTCTACCAAAGTAAACCAATCTGTGATGTCATCTAGTAGACCTTACAAGCAAAAGTCACACAGAACAATAATCTAACACTCTGAAAGTAAAGTCAGAAGACAAGATCAAAGCCCTAAACGCGTGGGAAATGTTTTGACCTAATACATTCCCAGCAAGCCAACTCCTAAAATTGAATTTTTATATTAAATTTTCCATTAATTTTTTTTTTGTTAAAGAAAATGTACAATGAGTACACCTTATTCACAACACTTAAAAAATTAATTCCAGCATTGGTTTTCTTTCTCATAAAGTTGAAATAAAAGATCACCAGTCTGTAAATAAGTAGAATATTGTTAATTACCAACTTTTTAGCAATTTTTTCTGAAGTGTTTATATTAAGCTGAAATATTTGTGGAAAAGTTTTTGAAAATAGCTTTGAACCTTTGACGAAATATCAAATTTAGATTCTAAGTGGTGGGGCTACTTTCCACTCTCACACAACGGTAGAGAAGAATAAACCAGTGAGCTCAATAGTCAGATAAATATCAAATCCATCTCTACGGGAAAAAAAGATGGCCTAAAAATGACAATCTCTTATAGTTTGGCTTCAAAGACCCTCATCCACTAGTTTTACTGCTTAGCAAATTTGTTGCCTAGAGAATGATATGTCTGCAGGTAACTTTGGAAATATATAGAGTCTGAACAGTTGAGAAAGCAACGATGAGAAAAACAATAATTTAAACCACATATATTTCTAGATGCATAAATAGTAGTGGACGCACATAAAATGGAAATAGGACTGCTTCTCTGAATGTATCTTACCCCAAGGTGGTGGAGCAAACAAGCCTCTGATTTCTTCTGCATTTAGACGAGGAACAAGTTCCATCAACAGGCGATCATTCAACCATCTGCGAGATCTGCGGTTGCTGACCTGCAGCAAGTAAAATCCCTTAGCTCAAGAATTTGCAGAAGTAGGCTGGAAAAAACTACGAATTTCTGTTCTCCAAAGCTACATGTAAATGGGGATTTATAGCCAATACCCCAATATAGATAATCCAACTATCAAAGTGCATAAAAGTTGCAAATGAAAATCAAATGGTATCAGCAACAAATATCTTGAAACAAGCAAAGAAAAATGTTCCACTTATTAAATTACCATAGAATGCTTTTAATGAGAAACCGTACTTATCATTAATAATTTTCTAAAACAGAAAAGGATATATCAAAATGAGGATGATGTATCTGTCAAAAAAACATAAGCAACAGCCTTAACAATTTTGGAAGAAACATAAACATGATAAAGAAAACTCCAATAAAACGACTAAATTAGAGCTCAAAAGCCCACTAAAGAAGACTGATTGACACTCCTTTTGGAGGAAAAAATAAGTAGCTTCCCCCAAATGGTTTAAGAACAACTTATCCTAAAGTTATAAACTAGAACAACTAATCCGAAAGTTCTACACTAAGGATAGAACATTTGTAGCCTCCAATTCAGTAAAGCAATGTTGGCAGTAAGCTACAGATGGTCAATACTAAATAATTGTATAACTTTTCAACATATAGAGTAATACCCTCATCAAAGTATGCGTTTACAGATTTATTTACACACATGAAATGTTCTTATTCATGTCCACAGGGGTCTCAAAAAGTTTCTAGCCCGGGTAAAAAATACCTAACGGAATCCACGGCTCTTCAGATGGGCTGTATAGCCTGTATAAGAATACAAAACTACAAATGAACCAAAAGGAATTAATTTCTCTTAGCAGAGCAAATTATACATACATTTACATATACAAACATATATATATATATATATATATTTCCTAATCCACCAACAAAATCATTTGTTAGATGAAACACAAACTTTTATCAAAACTATTAGTCATATCAGTTCCAAATTTCAGTAGAAAGCAGAAGTTTCCTTGAGATCTAATTGTTTGGGACAGTTGGAAAATCACAACGATTGTTGTAAATTGGCATAATCAAGAGGTCAACACAAAAAGCATAAAGCTTTGCCTAATAAATGGAATCTCAAGAGAAAAGGTAACAAGTACAAAAATATTAAAAATCAATATTTCATTCAAAGAAAATCATAAACTACTTTTCCAGTCAAGCTCTCGAGGATCTCGATTTTCTTCTCAATATCCAGTCCTCGGGATTTCAGATTCTCCCCTGCATACCAACAATAGAAAAATTAACTGAATTTCCCAGAAACAGCAGATCAACGACTATGTATACAATGATCCAAAACTACCAATTTAGGGATATTAAACTCAAAAAGACGATCTGGGTCAGCTTGATTCACACTAAAAGTACTAAATTGCTTCCAAAAAAAAAAATCAAAAATGAAATTGATAAATGAATAAATATAGAATGACATTAGATGCATAAATCAGAAGGAGATTAATGAAGTGAAATAAATTACCTTGGGGATGGTCAAATAGAGGAAGATCTTGTTCTCTTCGCAAAACTTCAGGGGTTGCCATGATTGATTCTGAAGAAAATGAAGATCTCTTTGTTGATGAATCGATCGTATTTGGTTTTCTGAAGCTTGTTTGACGAAGAGAGAGAGGAAAGAGGAACGCAAGGGAAAGAGCAGAACGACACACAACCTTAGAAAACACAGATACAGATAGGATCACAGGAATATGTTTTTTTTTTGGGAAGTTGATCACAGGAATATGTTGTTGCGATGCTAATTCGAAGGTTGTTTTATTTTGTTTTTTGTTTTTTGTTTTTTGTTTTTTTTGTTCTAATGGGTTGACTCTTGACAGACACGTAATAGAGAGGGCGTGACACCTATGGAGCGAGTTTCATTATCTGATTAAACCAGTTACTTTTGTGCTTTCTAAGTTTCGAACCAAGAATAATAATTTAAACATGCTCACTTTTAATGTGAACTAATAATAAATGAATATGTAATCTTTAATTACTAAATTAAATACGATAAGAATATTTATTTACCAAATGAGATATTACCATCTATGATTTGATTATTAAAATAGAACGTGTCCATTTATTGTTGGTCTACAAATATATAATATATCCTTATTAGTTAGGACCTAAGTATTGTCCATAATTTTATATTATTTAAGCATTGTGTAACGGGTAAGCATTTACCCGCGAATCCAAAAGTTTAAGTTATTAGGTAGTATTGTATAGTCACTCATTTATACCCATTTCAATTCTCATTTAGATATGACGGGGGACATATCTAACGGTCACATTGGTCAATTTTTCGCATCAAAATACTCGCCCTATGATGACACAAAGCCAAAAATAAAAACAATTTCGAATCTGACGTAGTCAACCACTCAACACATGCACAACTCAATTTCAGAAAGGCACAAGAGAAGCATCATATACAGAGGCTAAACCCTCCAACCTTCACTATTGTTCGCAAAATAGTTACAAGGAATCCTCACTGCACAAGCTCACAGAGTGTATCACTCAATCTTTGTGATAGACCCCTCCATTACAATTTATAGTCCACTCATGAAAACCAACCACAACTGTAACAAAGGTAGTAGAGACATCCCATCCACTATAGGATATTGTTTGTATTAACTGCCAACTACATGGGTGTGCTGGCTCATTCCAACATTTCCATATTACATAACACTGCCCATATCTTTAGAACATAGCCATGTTTTAAAAAATGGAGGGAACTGCTACAACTGCTATGTGGTGAACCGCCAGAGAATATGTTACAGGGATAAATCACACTACGAATTTTTTCCTCTGTAATGGCACTTGGAGCCACCAAATCTTAGCCAACACAACACACATACAATACAGAAAATACAAATATAGGCACACACAGTTTACAAGACCAAATCCCAACCTTTGATCTTATTAAACATAATACAAAAGACACAATGTCGTACAAGAGACCAAGGCTCTCATTGCATACACTGCAATGTACACTCTCTGCCTAATCCAAGCCCCATGCATCCCAATATATAGACACTCAGAGAAAACTGCCTACAACTGGCATGTATGTGTCTGTATCTAAACACAACAGATAAGGTTGACAAGCCCAACCTTCTAGCCAAATAATCCAATCAAACTCGTGCAGCACAGCATAAAGGTTTCTCCCTCAACCACCTATCTGTGTCAGACTTATAGATATCTATATTCAGTTGGACATCCCCCAACTTATAAGAAATTGGCCAATGACAATATGCCACAGCAATAACTGATCATAAGTCATCTAGCATATATGTATACGTTATCACAATCGAATATAAGTCACAAAGCTTCTCTAGAACATCTGATCATAAGTCACTGATTATATCTCAACTAAGTGCCATGGCCTTAGCCATGGTCCATAAGATACACTGAGTCAAGCCTACAAATCTGAACCCACACATAAGGTTCCCTGGGTGCACATCGTGTGCACGCCCGTGCGTGCACCAGTGTGCACGCTCTTGCGCGCGCTGCTGCACGCTGGTCCGCCCTTAAGTATTTTGGATGCTCCCATCTCGTGCCACCATCTTGGAGTGGTGCAACTCGTGCCCATGCACGTTGGCAAAGCCCTCTAAGCAAGGCATGCCATAGCCTAGCTGATGAACACAACTATTGAGCTTCAACTTCCACTCTACAACTTAGCTAAGGTAAATATTGGGACTCTGTCTGAATTCTGTTTTCACCAACAGTCTTCTAAGTCTCAAAACACCTCCCATTAAATTCTCGACTCCAAACTCCAAACTTCATTTTTCATCATAATAACGAAAATGCCACTAATAGATTTGTCAATGGATCGGATTTGGACCGGATCATGGTCAATCTAATCCGAATCCGATAAGTATAATGAGTGATCCGATCCGGTTCGACAATCTGACGAATTTTCACTGAGTCAATCCGTATCCGATTTGTTTGATTATCGGATGTCTGATCCGATAGTCCGATCCGAATATATGCAAATGTACGCACTGTGTGTGAACTCCCAACTGCAAATATTTTCAAAAAGAAAATAATAATGATTCATTGAACAAGAAACTGAGCAGTTACTAGAGTATATATTTATGCAATGTGTTGCAAAGCACATATTTAAAAGAAAAAAAGAACACGAATTAGGGCAAAATAGGGCATGTAAATTATATATATCAATAATAAAAAAATAATTAAAAGATAAATCTGCATATGTGAATCTATGCATGTGTACGCACTGGTCTTCATTTCCATTAAATCTCACACCGTGAAAAAAAATTAAAAAAACCTTCCAATTTCGATCATGCCAATATGAAGAGGAGAGAAGTGAGATCGAATGAGAGAGAAAAGAAGAACACTAACCTGAAAGGGGTAATATTTTGTAGCGGTCGCCGATCGATAGGTTAATTTTTCTGATTTGTGTTACAGATCAGCTACTGGGACTGTGGGAGTATTTGGGGAAATGGTGGTTTTGCAGTAAGAGTAGCGTAACTGTGTGCGTGAGAGAATAGGTAATGTTGTTATGAGTTAGGGTTTAGATAGATTAAATGAGGAATGGGTTTGGGAATAAGAAGTGGGCTTCGAGATAGGTTTGGGGCTGGACTCTTATATATATATATATAGGCTTGGAGATGGGTTTGGGGCTAGAATCTTATAATATTATATATATAATATATTATTATATATATATAATTTTAATTCGGATCGGATTATTATCGGATCGGATCGGTAAAATCTAAATCCTGTTTGTTAAGCTAACGGGTTAACGGATTCGGATCATAAACTGGTTATCGGATATTTTATTCAATCCATATCCAACTAATCGGATCGGATTTGGATCAGAATCCGATCCATTGACAGGTCTAGCCACTGAGCATCCTTCTGTGCACACTGAGGATCTTCTGTGCATGCTGACTACCCACTCAGCCCAATGTTTCAAATAAGAGCCAATGTGATCCCAAGACATGGCATGGCCCTGAATGTTTATATTTTCCCTTGGACAAATGTCAAGAGGCTAACAAATGCCACCTATCATAGGTGCTTGCACCTCTTCCCACCACTCCATCATGTGTGCACATGTGGGGGAAATGCTCAGAACCATTCCCAATTGCTGGAACCCACAACTAAACCCAAGCCACTTAGCTATGTAAAGATATGGTACATAAACCGAGCAATCTGAGTCAAGCCAACCAGTATGATGTTCCCTTCTTTGCAATGTAAGCCATAGCCTAAGCCTTGACGAAGCGTAATCTGCACCTTGGTCAATTAGGGCATAACGTTGAGCCATGCCCATACTTTAAGTCCATTTAAGCCACAACTTGCCTATAGGCAAATTAGCACACACAAAAGGCCAATGGGTGAAAGTCTTGCCGAGCCATGCACTAGGTTCGGGGCACACAGAGAGTATGCACGCACGTGTGCAAGCCTAACGTTACTTGCACTCGTTGCTCGCCCTTGGTATCTCTGGCCGCCATCGAGTGTCGGTTCTTCGAGCCATCACCTGGGGTGGTGCGTGCCATGCCTAAATATGTTGGCTAAGCTCCCAAGACCTGTTCCATGCAAGACGTGCCATAACCATGCTGAATGATAAGGGTAATGAGGGGAGGCTTCAACCTCATACCCCCCTATATATGCATTTTTGAGAAGTTAGAGCTCTGTCAGGAGTAGATATTAAGTATGTATGATGAGTCATAATAGGGAAATAAAATTCCCCAGGCCTCAAAACTGAAATCCATCTTCACAAATGATATTCTACGGCCTTAAAGATGCTCCCATAAATTTTTTGTAATTTTCCTCCATGTATTTTCGAACTTAAGTTTTTCACTTATTTATGAAACTGCCACTACCACATGCAATGTGCCTTTGACTGCCATTTGTGCCCCCATGATGGTTATTAAAGGCCTTGTCAAGATGCCTTCTGACTTAGGCCATGTGTGGGGCAAAGTTTCAACCAGCTAATACATAGTCTATATGGGTGTTTAATCCGCCAATCCGTGTGTCCGATCTGATCCGAGCGGATCGAATCAGATTGTCAGACTTACAGATCGGTGGTGAATTCAATAATATAGAATCCATAGTTTATGGATCGGATTACGGATTGAACTATTAAAATTTCGATCCGTGAGATATATATACATATATAGGTAAAAGTACAAAAACACTTGTTCTGTTCTAAACTAGAGCAGTACACTACATCACACTACACTTCCCAAACGGGCCCTAAGTATTGACCAGCCGCCAGATCTCTTCTACTTTCGAAAGATAATATTTCATTATCAAGGATAACAATGACAAATCTTATTAAGGATAAGATTTTCATGGGATAAGGATTATGATATTCCCTTATCAAGAATAAGGGAAATAACGATAAATAGGATGACGACTAGGTAATAAGGTAGGAAGAAAAAATTATTATTAAATCCATGCCTTTCTTTTAGACCTCTGGTGACTAACTTGATCGTCGGAGAGTTCTTGGTAGGCACCACACCATTGCCGTTAAGATTTAACTTTTGTTACGATTTTAATAGTACCAATTTATTTATTTATTATTATTATTATTATTATTTTTTGGAAAAAGAGGCCAAAACTAAAAGCACCAAATTGGTGTTTCCAGTTACTTCTAATGGGTAGTGTAGAGTTTGATAGATATTGTACACTAACGCCCAACTCCGCGAATTTTTTTGGGGGTATTTTGATAATTTTTGCACTTGTTATGTTGGCCTAGTGCGAGGGTATTTATTTATTCTGAACTTTCTGTATCCACTGCTATTTTGATCATCATAGTGAAATCTCTACAACCTTTGGACGTAACTCTGAATTTTGGATGAACTAAGTAAATCCATGTGTTCTTGTTATATGTATACTTGATCTATTTCTTGTATTTTCTAATTTAATTTCGCAAAACTTCAGCACGGTAACAAAAACACTAAAGTAATGAACTGACCATTTTATTTATCAAATTAACTTGCAACACTTTTACTAAACATGTTTTATATTTTTGCTTTGAAAAATCGTACAACAAATATAATGCTATCAAACATAATTCCGATTATTATTGAATACATTTCAAAATATTATTTTTATTTCGAATTAATATAAAAATACGAAACAATAGAGGTTACCAGACAAGAGTTGAGATCATGATTCTTTCCGAAGAGACCTTTTATTAATTGGACCACTAGATCCATCCACGGATAGTCTTGCCAATTATGCAGTAATAATTTGAATGAGCTACACTACTGTTTTTTGAAGAGAGGTTTTTTACTAAAGATTTTAGTTGAAGGTTAAATTTAATGCTTTCAAATTATATTTATATTTATATAGTTTTTTTGGTAATTTTTCTTCATAAACAAGTTGATTTCTTATACGTATTTAAATATAAAAAAAAAAAAAGGAGATTTTTTTTTTTTATTTAAATACATATAAGAAATCAACTTGTTTATGAAGAAAAATTACCAAAAAAACTATATAAATATAAATATAATTTGATTTTTTTTTTTTTTTTTTGGTACTAAAATTTCACGATTCTTTATCAACACGATAGAAAGTGAAAATTTAGAAATTGACGGTCATTTTTATTTTTCCTCCTGTTTTTTAAAATGGGGTGTGAATTATTTTATTTTTGTTTTTCCATTGTGAGTAACTTTGCAAAAATCTAACTAACTAAACTCATTTTTAAGTTTAAAAAGTCATGGCAAGGTAATCAAATTGGCATTTAATAAAACCTCCAAAACAGGAGTAATAATATAAGCATTTAAAATACATAAAATATATATATATATAGTCGTCCAAGACATTTTCTCTGACTGTCTCCTTACATCTGACCTTTCCACGTTGTCACTAAGACGCTTCATAATCAAGAATTTAAGGGGTACTTTTGGATTTTCACCTACCCACCCCCACTATTTCCAGAACCAGCTCCTGCATTAGTCTGTTACACGCACGTACAGACAGTACAAAATACAGAGCAAGCAATTGCAAGCACATTTCAGCCCCCAATTTATTTGTTTTTTCTCCTCACATTTTCCTTCTCTCGCATTCTGAAGAAACCCTAACATTTAGTAAGAATCTCTCTCTCTGTCTAAACGAATATCCTTCTCTTGCTACTTCTCTCTCTATACTTCTCCTGTCAGTCTAATATAATCAATATATATATATATATGCGTGTGTGTATGTAAGTGTGTGTGTGTATATATATATATATATATATGCATATATGCGTTTTCGTTTGATTATAAGATTATCTCATATCAAGTTTTAGGTTATTTATCAGAACTACATCACCATTAGATGAAGAATCTCTTTGAATCTGTGTACAGCTGGAGTACTATTGTCGATTCAATTATTCGTTCACTATAGAACAACAGATCGGAAAACCTCATTTCTTAAAGTTGATTATATACATGTGCGTCTCTCTTAGTATATATATTCATATATATATATATAGACACACACATATTGTTCAGGGCTCAGTTTTTGAGTTTGATTGTTTTATTTGATGATCATGAGCTGTTTGCAGCAGCTAATCAGAGCATTTGATAGCTTATGCATTGATATTATTTGGTAATTTTGCTCTGAGAAGAGGAAGTAGACTAGAATCATGTATTTTTTTCCTAGTTGAAACTCACTCGAACCCATTGCCTTCTACTTTGGAAGGTGAGGAAGCACCACTAGGCTACAACCCTTGGTGGTGACTAGAATCATGTTTGTTATGAATATTTCAGGCTTTATAATTTTGTTTTAAATTGTAATATGTGGTTGTGGTTTGAAATTTGACTGTCATTGGTGGTGACAGATCCATTTGTTAATTGCTTTGTAGTTTTGATATGATTTTCCTTTGATAATTAGTGGGATTGTTCTATTTCTAATCATGCTCAGACTGGTCCTAAAATTAGATTAAAAAACATTGGTATCAATTCATTGTGCATACTCTGAGGATTTATTTTAATTTTTTGTTTGTAACAGAAGGTGGCATTCTCTAGAAAAAGGTTTGGCAAGGATCCTTTTTATTTCTCAGAAACTTGTTTCCAGCTGTTATTGGCATTTAGCTCCATTTGCTTGTCACTGAGTTCTAGGAAGACTTGAATTTTTATATAACAGTTAACCTAACCATAAGTTGATATGAGATTTCAAATTTCATTCAGTCATGTTTTCTTGGCATAAAGAACTTATTACAGTCTTTAAAATTCATTTATTTATGTCTTTTTCTTTTCATGTGCACTGTTCTCAATTTTCACTAGGCAAAATCTCTTGGCTGTGATTACAAAAAATCTTTGAGGGCCTAATTTTAGATTCTCAATGTGATTACATGCCTTCAAGCTAGAGTTAGGTTAAATAGTTGAATGAATGAACATTTAGGTGAATTTTAGATTAAAAATCAACCTCTTCTGCATTTGAGGCCAAATGATTGTCATGTTGTCCTCCTTAAATGGTGCGAGATATGATCCCAGTTTTACTCCTCTAATCATCAATTTCACTACATAGAATAACTCTGTTCCAATTCTGTGCCTAGTTTTATTTACTTATTTTTAATTCTTTCCCTCCTGGTTAAGTGGATAGAAATCATATTGTTGTCTCGCGATCATCGATCATCATCTAAGTTATTTTTTATCATTTTAGTAGAATTACATGTATTTTGTTAGCTTATTAATCAACCAATACGCGTGTGTGCGCACATACACACATATATTCACTGTTATCTTGATTGGAAGTGCTCTCTGTCTATTTTATGTGCACTCTTGACAGTTGTTCATGCTATTTCATTGCCTTTGACTGGTTAATCCTCAAGCAAGCTCTTGTTCTGGATAGCATGGAAGGACAAAGCAGCCACGAGAACCCTGTGCAGTTGATGTCATTTGCTTTTAATGGGAATGCCAGAGATGTGTCTCATTCACCTGGAAATGATCCTAACCAGCACTACTTTATGGCAGCCGGAGGAAGTCAGGCCCACCCTTTTCCTCTGTCTCTTCCCCACTGGATTCCTTGCCAGCAAACATCGCCCAGTTTTATCCAGCTTCTCACAGAAAGTGGGGTATCTGAAACCCAAAGCGAAAGGGTATCATACAACAATTCTGGAATGCTTTATAGTTCTGAACATTCTTATCCATCCCTTGACATGGGTGATCAGAAGGTAAAACCATCCATCCATATGCTTAACAGCAGTAATCGTGAAGCTTCAATATATTTAGCAGGTTTTTTGAGTTCTGACCAAATTGAGATAATATATGGGGAGATGCTACGTCCCCATGGTACAAGAATCCTTCCGTCCACTGAACTTAACTTGTGGCAAGACGATGATGCACAATATATGTGTCATATATCTCACTAATGGCTTCACTAACAATCTAAAAGTTGAAATTCTGAATGCTGTGTGTTCAACAGGTAAGATATCTTAGGCCACACAATGAAGTTGGACCAATGAAATTCACAAGTGCAGAAGGTCAGATCCACATTCAGGTTTGGATTCTTTTCTTATCTGTGTTCTTAACTCCAATTTAAGTTTCCCCCAGCAGAGCTTACTGCCTTCCAAATTCATATGAGATTTTAATAACTTTCAGCAACGTTATGCAATATAAATATCTTGCAATATCGTCATGCTTCACAGAAACAAGAATCAAGTCAAGATTATGGTAATGTTTTTCAACCTCATTTAAGCATAGCAGCTGCAGCAAAAGGTTTACCACTCAAACAAGGTCGTAAAGTCTCAAGAGAGAGAGCCACTGCTGTTGATCGTGTAAGCAAAACCTCTTCGGTAAACAATTGCTGGATGAATTCCATTAACTTACAAAATTTTATAAAGTTTGAACTCACTCGCCAAGTTTTTCAATCACATATTCTCATTTCTTAACAAAATAGTAATAATATATGTTATGTGTAACTGGAACAAAGTTTAAAGCATTGTTGCAATTGGATGCCATCATACTCTTGCCTGGATGCATTTCAACTTCCTTAATTAGCAGCTTTTTTTTTCTCTTCAGAATCGCAGATTGAGGATTGCTGAGAAACTTGATGCATTGCAGGAACTGCTTCCGCCACATTCTAAAGAGGTGAAATACATGGGGTGTTTTGTGCATGTACACATGCACAAATTCATGAATTTTAAAAGAAAGTTTTTGATAGGAGTCCAATCATTAATATGATTAACAGAGTCCACTATATAACAGAATAGGAGTTTATATTTCAGTTTCTCTTTGTATCTCTTTGCTCTACTCTTATCTTACCAATAAAATTTGACACACACATAAAACTAGCTGATTTAACAACAAAATATTCTGAACGTGATTGAACCTTCAATTAGCATCATTGGAGAATATAAATGAAGTTTAGGTGGGTAAAATGTTCTGTAATATTGCTGAGTGATTTTTGATGGAAGAGCAAAATTTATTTTAGTAATCTTGTCTGTAATTTACCACCAAGATTGTAGCCAAGAAGCATCTCCTCTTCCTTCCAAATGGAAGATCGAGGGTTTGAGTTCCCAATGGGACAAATGGGTGTGTGTTATCTACCAAAAAGAATATTGACCTAGTGTTGAGTCCCACCTACCACATACGGTGAGGTGCAGGGAGGGTAAGATTCGAGATAGACCTAACCCTTGACGTATTTTTGCACAAAGTGAAGTAAGGTTGCCGGTTGATAATGCATAACGAAGGGCAACAGGCTCTTACAAAAGCAGGAACCTGAATCTTGATTGCAGATGATGCAAAGGAAAATGGTTAAACCTTTAAAAGATCTAACAAGCTTTGAGCATGATGTTAGCTCATATTGTTTAAAACTGTCCAACTATTTGTACAAATTCAAATCTTCAGGTCCTTACTAATAAGAGTAATGTAGGTATTGTATGTGAGCATCGAATGGTAACTTCTGCATCACAAAAAGCATGAATATTGATTTAAAGGGACATCAGATTTCTAGAATAAGAGACCTAAATTATAGATGAATTGCAATACAAACCCATGTATTGAGTTGACAAGCATATATTTAGTTGACAAGCAATGAGAATCAAGATTCGAACCCCACCCCTCCCTTTAGATTTGATGATATCTGCACCTTTATCACTGTGCCACAATTGATTTGACACATTGTGATATTTGTTGGCCTTTATTTCAACCAATGTTTGCATAAATAATCATGACAGAGAGACCTGAACCAACAAGTAATGTGTGTTGCCTGGAATTAAAATAGTGAAGTTGTTGTTTTGCAGGGTTGTAAAGCGTCCGTGATGGATGATATCATTGACCATATCAAGTCTTTGCAGCGTCAGATAAAGGCAGGCATTTACACTCATATTCTTGATGACCAGATTAACAGTTAAATGACACATGCATCACAGTCGATGGATAAGAAGATAAATGTTTTTTTTTTTTTTAAATAATCAGAGTTTTGATTCTTGAATTGTTTTATTTGATTTCATGAAGATTGATATTTACTTTCTGAAAGCCACCTTACAACAGAAAACAAGTTTACATATTTCCAGGGGTTCCTTTTTGGCTTCTTAACATAGTGTTCCAGGAATAGTTTGAAATATTTGAGAACTGGTTCCCTATTCAGAACTATCTTATCATCGACAAAGTAAACAACAACACAGAGGTTGTGGTGTATAATGCTATCATTATTTTAGATACTCTGTGCGGTGGTGATCATCTTTACTTGAACAAATTGTAGAATACTTAAAAGAGTTTTCATTTTCTGAATGTGTGCCAACTGTTGTTCAGATTTCTGCAAGCGGGACTGTCAACACCTGATATCTCGTTAACCATCTTGAACAACTTGTAGAATACTTAGATTTTTCATTTTCTGAATGTGTGCCAACTGTTGTTCAGATTTCTGCAACCAGGACTGGCAACTCCCGAACGAACATGGGGCCATGAACCTCTCTTTAGACCATTACTCTTACCTCTTACAGTTCATGTGTTTTGCTATCAGAAGTTCAGAACTCTCTTGCTGCGAATTTATTTATTTGTTCTCCTTTATAGGACTTATTCCAATTGCTTCAGCACGGAAAATGTATAATAGTTTGTTCACCATTATTTTTTAGCATCAAATCTTTTAGTTAGCAAAACATCATAGTGAATTTCATGGGGACTTGTTTGTGCAGGATTTAAGTAAGAGCAAATTGGCAGGCGAATCGACTTCTGAGCCTTTCATTTTCCTTGAGGTACAACTCATCACAGCCCTAAATGGAAACAGTTTTGCAAACTCATTTCAGATTGTTTATCCCAGTCATCTCAACCTTGCAATGATTCTTTACTTTTAAATGTATATATATATCTCTTCAATGTTTTGATGGGAATTTTGATAGTTCTTTGGATGAATCGCAGGGATATGGTCATTACCTTTTTCATGAAGAGATGCTGGGTGAACCTCTGGAAGAGATACTGGGAAAGTTGCTGGAGATGAATCCACCAGCAGCTTTCAAGCTGCTTGAGAGCAGGCATCTCTTTATGATGCCTGCGGGTCTGGCTGAAGGATTCCGCCAAACTGCTTAGATTCCCGACATGCTAACCTTCGGTAGTTAATCAAAATTCTCCTTTTAGTTTCCATGGTTCTTAAAATTTTACAGGCAAAGAACCATTTGATGATGTCACCACCAGTATATGTTTTGTTACTACGGATGTAAAAAAACCAAACTCAAGAAGATGCGATTTTGACTGCAGCTGTGGAGCAGCCTTCTATTAAATCTATTTTTGGTTGTGCGATAGGCACAAATGGCATCTTATCAAGTCAATTATTTTTTACTGTCATACTAAATACCATTTCTATATTTGTGGTCCAAGTAATGGGAGGAAAGAAGTAATACATGTACCAATGTCGTATATCGAATTACATGTTCAAAAAAATAAAAATAAAAAAGTAAATATAATTAAAACTACGTCCAAAGGAACAAAAAGAAAAGGGCACTATCAGTTAACACAATTATTTTAATAAAAAAAAAATGTCGACAAGCTGAATGCATAAACACATCAACCGAGGGGATTTTGGTCATTTCTCTGTAAAAAATTACATGTACAAACATTACATGTAAAAGAGAAGGGCTAACTAAATGGTGTAGTGTACTGTACATGAAAGCTGAGAATAAATTGCTTATCCTTTTTTTTATCCCCCTTCTATTCCTTCAAACTCTTCATTCCTAACAACTCTCCTCATATCTAAGACGATCAATTTAGGAAGCAATGAACAAAGAATTTACATATAATTTAGTTAACATGATCGTCTCCGGATGGGTCTATCTTGATCAAGAGAGGCTTCTCGAAATCGGGAGGTGGCTCTGCTACAATGGGTAGTCCTGGCGAGCCCAAGATGCCTTCTAAGTCGGCATTTTCTGCTAATGCTTTGTCTAAAGAAGCCTTTGCGACTTTAGTGATATACACCATAAGAATAACTACATTGAAACCAACAATACAGGAAAATCAATAAATTTCCAAAAGGTTATTACATATGAAATATATTCCCTGCGGTGCGGAGAGAGTGTAACACTCAACTTTCTGATTCATGTTTTAACCTCCCCAGCAAGGATCAGACTTTATTCACGATCCGATAAATTCACAAAAAATCTAATCCACCCCCTCAAGAAATGTAGATGATTTTAGCTAAAGTTATGGTTGGACTCATGGTTTACAGTATTCAGCCATTCCTTTTTCTCTGATTAGGAACGTCGACAAACTAACAACATTTTCAATAAGAATGATAAAATTTAGTTGCTCCCTCAGATAAAAGCGGCAAGTGGGAAGACAATGGAATTGAAATAAATTGACTTACCAGAAATCACAAAGCCCGATGCCATAATTACCTGCCATCCATAAGCAGTAGTCAGAACAATAGACGAGAAGCATAAAAATGCAACACAAATCAAGCTAAAACAGTAGAGAGTATGAGCCCCATGAATTTCATTTATCCCAGGTGACCCATGTATAAACCCCTCATCTGCTAAACAATCATGTTCCTGGTACGATGGGGGCAAAAAAGAAAAAAACATTATCTAAAATTGAACCCTGTCAAGTCTCAATCGAGGGTATTAGGAGGTCACTACACATTGAACTTTTTTAATTATTTAAACTAAGCATCTCCCTCATAGAACTGGTGTTCTCACACTTTCTAGCCCTACCATTTACCAGAGCCAGTCCATGGCATCTACGGCTGAAAATCATAAAAATAACACTCCTAAGCTGACGTCTCTATCTGCATTGGTAGGCTCCATACAACTTGGTAGTGGATAAGCTGAGCTATTCCCTTTTTCACGGTAAATATGCTGAGCTAATATTGATTTTAACAAGTAAATAAAATATAATCCAAAAGTGTCACTAAAGTTAAAAATCGTACTCCTCTACCATGTATCATGCATAACATATTGACATACTTCATCCACTTATTCACATCTTTTCTACTCTTTAAAAAGAAGTACAAAATTTACAGAATTACAATTAAATAAGAATTGGGTAAGATATACAATATATGAAAGATCCATGCCAAAACTAAGAGATGTAAGAACAATGACTACAACCAACACATGAGGGGGAGAATAAGTTTCCATCATACTGTCAAAATTTCAACAGATTCCAAAAATATTCACAAGATACTAAAAATGTTCAAGTCGGAAGCATTGAGCTAGTAAACAATTAGGTATGAGGTTTTGAAGGCCTTCAGGGAATATTTTGCATCAGGAATAAAATCCAAAATTGCTTGTCAACAGACCTCATGATGAATAATCTTACCAACATGTCTTCATGGGATAAACAACACAAGGCAGCTTCCAAAACTCAAAACAGCTTTGGATAATATTGTAGGGAAAAATATTACGAACATAACGCTCCTTTAGAGACCTAAAAACCAAAGTTGCTATACGAAGAGGAGAATGTGTTACTAAAGAAAATTTTGTTTATGCGCAAGTGTAGTCCATTTGGACAGAAGAATCAGAACCCAACTCAACAGAACCTTTTCTCAACTCTTTGAGTCAGTTACTGAATATTTCTTGTCATTCAACTCTACCTAACATCATAACCTAGCCAAACCACCCACTATCAATGCGAACTTCACCTATAGTTCCTTCAATGCGGACTTCACTCTTCAAAAGTTAAAACTAATGCAGTTATTGATTTTCGCCAAACCACTTTCACTGTTTTTTCTGCCATCTTATCTCCAATTGATGCTCTACTCGCATCTCATGAATGTGTTCATCCTAAATTTGCATCTCATGAAGAATAAGAAGAAAATATTCATCAGAAACTTTATGAAAATTTTCCATCCCCGTATCAACGCCCAACGGAAAATAAAACACTTCAGCTGCATCTTAAGAACAAAGAGTACTATTTTCATTACGAGAGAAGTTGAGTGACGTTATAGATATTTCTTTTGATCAAACCAAAAGAATGGCAAACTGAGGATTATCAGATATAACCAATACATGCTATTTGTGTTACCCATCCTGACCAGCTTGAGTGCAAAGTTGTGATACAATCAGCATTCAATGCTGTTAGCAATGCACAGTTAGCCACTGGTACACACATTAGAAACCAAGTCCAGAGAGACGTATAAAGCTGCAACCTCATATAAAGTAAAAATTCAGTTTTCATTTTAGAATAAAAATATTATTGTTATATGATTCATTTTTATATATAAAGATACACCCGAATTCCATAGTAGATACTCCAATAACTGCGGTAGACTATCTTTACAATGCAGAACTTTATTACCAATAAAGGACAACCAGATTAAAGCTAGCCAAAAAAGAATAGATGGGCTGGCTCTTACCCAACGAGTTGTTGTAACCTCACTCCATCCATGTGTTACGTCAGAAAGATCCTTTAGGGTTGTTCCAACATATACTAGTGCCAATGTGATTGGCTGCAATATGAAGAAAAAAAAGAAGTTATCATTAACACATTCAAACAAATCTTTAAAAAAATTATGAGGAGATTGATCATCTTGACTTAACTGATAGAACCAAAAAGAAAATAATGTTGGGAAGCAACTAGATTATTTAGTTGCATCAAACATATCCCAAGAGAATTTAAGCAACTGAAATGTGGAGAGAGATAAAACAAAAGCAAGCTTGTCTCAATTTTTGGTTTGAACTTTGAACAAATGACTACAATTCCAAAATTTTGTAACTAATTTTCTTCCAGAAAACAGTACTTACTAGGTTATATTTCCAATATTGAGTGCCAATTTTCTAAGTGTTTGTCTTGCTAACAGGGCTGCTAAAGCCTTCGGAGAATGGGGCATTTGCAGAAGGTCTCATTGGGGAAGGCCCACAATTACTATAATTATTATTTCACTTATAAAAGTGGTGTGCCATAGGTTTTATTTTTTATTTAGTATATAATATCTCTCTATTTAATATTTTGCAGATTCAATTTAAACATATACAATATAATGATACATTAAAGGTTATATCAGATACAATTTATAGTAGTACAGAGTTGGTCTCTTCTACGTCTGATACTTGGCTCATGTCGTTTCTTATTCTTGTACAATTATTCTTGTTTGGTAACTTTTGTTAGAAATCCATTTGAACAGCCTAAACTCTTAAATTTAACTTGGTTCTATGACAAGAAAAAAGAAATATGATGGTAGCCATAGGAATGATGCAAACCTCATCGGCAATCAAAGAACAATTAGCCATCTCTCTGCATTAAATCTTATCCGTCTCTGACTGTTAATCATTGTGATAATTCCAAATACATCTTGTGCTTAAGAATAGTAAAGAATAAAAGTAATTGTAGTGTAACATGAAGTGTTGTTTCGCTGGGGTATGTGGGTGGTTGTGGTTGTGGTGTGCAATGTGTGTTAATGTGTTTGAGCAGTCATGTGGATATTGTGTATATCAGTGCGAGTGTGTATGTTGTGTGACAGGTAAAGGGAGTGTGGGTTTGTCAATGAATGGAGGTATATTAGTGTAATAGGAGTGCATATGGTGTACGTGCATTGTTATGTGCTATATTTATATACATATATATATATTTTATTAGTGAAAAATTCTTTTGTACACCTATGCATGTTATGTCGAGAAAATAAAAAATGAAGTCTAAAGAACTATTAGAAAAAAAGTGCAAATTGCTTGACTTATTATTGCAGGTGATGTCACCTTGACTTGTCTATATAATTCATTCTTTATTACTTTGACTAATTTCAATTTTAATCTTAGAACAAAGGGGTGTGCCATTTGGTAGAATATAATTTAAACCTCTAAACCAATAGGGCATATTACCCAGAAAAGCTAGCTTGACTCTTGAACATCCAGAAAAGCCAGCCAACCATAAGGCGAGATAGAACAAAAGTTTCTGAGCTTCAGCCAAGCTTGCACATGTTCTGTTTCATCAAGATGAGCTCAAACATTCCACAATTCTGCTTGGCTCATTTCATGTTGTTCAAACCATAACTAGGAGCCTAGGTCATATAATAAGATCAAATATGAGTGTATTTGCAAGCACGTGAGATACCTACCAAAAATAAGTGAAAAGTAACTCTGAAAAGGTGCTAGAATAAAGAATTCAGATAGCCTAGAAATTTTCAAAATCACCAGTGGGGTTGAGTAATAAAGACTATTGAAAGATAGGATAAGATCAAAGAAGAAAGGATGGAATTGGATTCTAGCCACCAGAGAGCACACGTTCCAACTGAAGTGGACACCTGATAGGCTGGAAATTTTGAAGAGGGCTGTGTTGTCAAAGCTAAATGTTGGGACATGCATCATTATGCTTAACGATTATGTAGATCTTAAAGGTAAAACTCTGCAGCTTTTATTGAAAATAATGTACTTGAAATATCAATATAGTTAACTGTAGCTTATCAATAAGATCAGGAATAATCAAAAGGAGAGAATACCATCATTCCCACCCAGGAAGCTAGCATGTACTCCCCTAGTCGAACAGGAGTCACAGACAGCAGATAATTCAACATGTTGAATGGAAGTAAGGGAACAAGCCGAAGCAGCAAAACAATCTGTTGAATGAGGAAAAAGACAAATGAATTAGAAATTATGAAGGATTACATATCAACATATTAAAAACAAACAGAAATGACAAACCCAGTGAGACATAGAAGAAATCGCCACAGAATTTAAAATTCAGGAAACATAGAAGCAAGAGCATTATGTCAAATTCATGTTTGGAAAACTCAAATGCATCACACTATGAACTATAGTTGCTGAAGCTGTTCATATTACGTAAAGCTTCTACTTTGAGACTGGATCCTACTAGGAAGTTAAAAAAAAAAAAACAGAGGTCTCTTGTCAAAAAATCGTAATTCTATTGTCACTGAATCTTGAAGCCAACTTTAGATGAATTTTGGACTGTAGAACAATGCAAGAAAGTTAAACCTACAAGTTTCTTTCTTTCTTTCTTTTTTTTAATTAGTGTTGAACCTGCAAGCTTTTAACTTCCTATTTTATTATAGGCACACAGATTTGTTATCAATCCAGTTACAGAAAGACAAACTTGAGATCTACATCAAAAAAGGTTCGAGGAAAACCATGTAAAAGTTGGTTTCTTCTAGAGTGCTTAATGGTTAGAACCACAGGTCAGTTAACTAATTTCCGTACAAAATAAGACTTCTCCCTTCTATTTTTTTGATAAATAAGACTTCTCCCTTCTATGATTGAAAATTTAATACATATCTTAGAATATAACATGACAACAATATCCCTATTAATTATTAATAACCTACTTGATAATACTCATGTTTATTTATATATAGTTGTACCAAATACATCCAACAGGAGGCTTCTCAATATCCTATTCCTAATCCAAAATACTAGGAATGACTGATCTATCATCGATAATAGTCTAATATCTCTCTCCCTCGTAAAGTTAAAAATAATGACAATATAGAGCTCACATCAAATAGTTACATGTGTGCGTGTGATGAAAAGAGGATGTTAAGGTGGATGACAGGGGTGAAGGGTTACTGATCAAAATGTGAGGGAGAATTTAGGAGTGACAACTATTAGTAATAAGATAAGAGAAGATAGAGTAAGGCGGTATTCACATATCCGAAGAAAATCTAATAGGAGGCAAAGAGGGTGACCGGAGTTAACATGGCATGAAATAATTAGAAATGATTCTAAAAAGTTCAAAATTATAGGAGAGATGACTTGTAACAAAAAAGAATGGAAAAGGAGAATTCATGTGGCCGCCCCCATTCACAGGCAAAGATGACAACAACGAGACTACCTCGTAAATCAATATTAATTTATGTTCCCTGACCTGTAGCAAGCCAAATCCTGGGTATTGATTATCTCTTGTGCAATACAACAACCCCAGTAATGATAATACTGTATATAAAAATTTCCTATATCTTACAACATCTTACAACATCATATCCTAAGAGCTGCCTATCATTAGCCTGGAGCTTCTAGCTATCACATGTTTCTAAGTGCTAGTTAAGAAACTGAAAAGAGAGAGAGAGAGGAAACAAACTCTTATCTATTAGTATGAACTACAACAATCAACTAAAACAATATTAAGCACAAATGAAATCATATAATTGATTATTTAAGATAGTATCTTCCCTTAATTTAATAAAAAGAAGATAACAAGCTTAATGTTCAAAATATGGCATAAACGTATTCCATACCCTCATTTTTTTATTTTTTCACTCATGAATAGGAGGAACATATGAAATTTCTCATAAGACCAATTTACTATCCAAACTCTATGGTACTTGGCCATTTCAACAACTTGGCCAACTATTCAAGATTTGCTATTACTCAACTTGCTAAAAATGTAAGTCAGTCAAATCCACATGCCTCTCGAAGGGTTGATTAAGAAACATACTGCAATGTATTATTAATTTATTATCAAGGAATCTTGGAAATGTTCCTTAGGACAATCATTTTAGCATCTTGATGTCTAGGACAATGTTTCAAAAGGGACTCACACATGGGACCAATTTACTATCCAGACTCTATGGTACTTCACCATTTGAACAACTTCGCCAATTATTCAACATTTGCTATTACTCAACTTTTTATTGTTAAAAATGTAATTCAGTCAAATCCACATGCCTTTCAGAGGCTTGATTAAGATACACACAAAGTTCTTATTAGACATCTTTTTTTATTCTGAATATTACCTAAACCATTTGCACTTGCTTCTCGTCTTATATGTAAGTTATTCGTTCAAAATTCTTATTACTTGTAAGAATATGTTGTAGAATTCACTAAAACATATCTAATTCTGATTCTCAATTAGTTGATACATTTCAGGGTTTCATCACTAACTCAACTCAGCGAGGACTTAATTGTGGTTTAACTGGAAATTAAAAACAAAAATAATTTTATTGTTAATGTAACACATGGAAAGGAGATATATATTAAAAAAACAATATAAAATAAAAATAAAAAAGAATGGAATGATGCGTGAATAGTTCACAGAAATTCAAACCTTAAAGCCTGATCTCTGAATTGCGATAGCAACTGCCTGAAACTTTGGGTAATTCTTTAACTTAGAAATGACATATGATCTTCCAATCTGCATAGTTACAAAATTACAAATGTTATACACATGAAAAATATACATAGAAAAGAGATGCATCAAACAAAATGATGATTTGCATCTAAACCTCCAATTTATAGAGTGCGTTCAGCTGACCCAACAAAGATATATTGGTCCAAATCCAAAAATGTGGTTAACAATTAAATGATTGGGCGTCTGCCTTTTCAGAAAGCATTCAAGCACGCACACTCATTGAAAGAAAGATCTAACCAAGAAAGAGACTTACTGTTCTACCAAGAATGAAGGCAGCTGTTGCACCAATGGTAGCACCTATAGAATCGGCAATAAACCCCATTGGCAATCCAAAGAGATAACCACCTCCAAGCTGCAAAGTTAAGAATTATAAAACCAGACAAAGTAAACAGGAAAATCAGGTTTGCACACAACTTTAAAGAAGTTAGTTGTCAGCAGATAATAAGATAGGACGGGGGAGAAAATGAAGAGGAGCATGATAACATAAGTGATCATAAATACCAATTAATACAAGTGCTACTCAAAAATATAATGGATCTCCTTTAGTAACACATATAAATATATTTTGAAACAAGAGAACCAAAATTTTAAAATAAAATAATAAATATAAATCAAAATAATCAATGAAAATGATTGGAGACAAACAAGCTACACAACTGCTAATAAACATAACTTGAAGCACAACATATACATCCTGTTTAAAATAATAATGTTGAGATAATAGTTTCTAATTGTAAGAAAATGAAAACTCTTATTGGAAATAATAATAAATAAAAAAACCTAAACTTCTGGCAAATTTGGAAATGTTTAAAGTCATTAGATATTAAAGAAGCTGTGAAAAAGAATATGGAACGTGACCGATTGAGTTAGGAACCAAGATTCTGGCGCAGTTTGGTCCTTGTTTATATAGAATTGTTCCTTTTTCTGTGATGAAGTATACCTGGTCCAGAGTTTTTTTTCCCAAAGTTTATAATGGTCCAGACTAACTAGTACAAACTAGCATAATTTGAAGGTTGGTTTGTTTGCTTGATTGTTACAGTTGTCATAATTTAAGGGTGCATAACAGCCCGGGCTAAGCCAAGAGGAATTTTGACAAACCCAAGCCGGCCCTGCGGGAATTGAGATGACATGCTGCGGACTTGGAACGGACTTTTGATTTTTATCTTGGACTTCATTATAGTTGGGCTTGATTTAAAGGGGAAAAAAAGGATGGGATGCATGAAATCTAAAGAAGTATAATATTATATTACTTTAAGAGTGTACTTTTTGCCTTATCTTTACAAGTTTACATGGAATAATAAAATAAACTTTGAAGTAAAAAATCATTATGAGGAATGGGTTGGAATAAAAAGGAAAAATGAATACTGCCAGTCTTTTTTTTTTGTGTGTGTGTGTGTGTGAGAGAGAGAGAGACTCAACGGGAAAAAAACAGTAAAAAGAATAAAAAGGCAAAGCATTCAAAGTCATTTTTTTAAGGGAATATTGTGCAACGTGATTCAAAGTATACAGTTTTCACTAATTCGTTGGGCTGGGGTTATCATTAGATTTGGGGGTATGGGTGATGGGGGATGGGCTGGGGAAGAGGGGCTACTATTGCTGGGCAGTGTGCGGTGGGCCAGTGGCCCGGGACAACGGGCCAAGCCGGGGGTTGAACCCTATACCCAGGCTCTACCCATCTTATATGGTTGGGGCGGGCTAGCCCTCCACGGGCTCAGGCTGGCAGGCGGACCCCAAGTCATTTTTGCACCCTTAAATTCTTACTTTCTCATATGTTTTTTCTTTTTTCTCAATTTCAAAGCATTCTTCAATTCCAATAAGGGAAATAGTAAGGGTGGATGCACACACAATTCTCACCTACAATGCTGTGCTGGTTTTTTTAGTAGGGGCCAGGTGGCTACGTACTAATGGCAGTATGTTTGCAATGGTGACATTTGTTTATTGTGATTGTTGTCTTTGTTTATTTTTCTAAGTATTACATTATGTTGATGTGGAAGTAGTATTTCGTTGAAGGAAATGGCCATGAGGCCAGGCCTTTAAAAGCTGCAAAAAGAGCTCCTCCAACATGATAGAATTGAACATTGCATCATTATAATTTTTATAACGTGTATCACTTTATGAACATATGCATCACGACTTAAAATCAAGTTAAACCAGTGTAATTACATCTAAGATTTTCGATGTTACCAAAAGTTAATTGCAAATTAGTAGAGGTCGTCTACGTAAATTCTTCTTTGCCATTTAGCTCAATCCGTGACCTTTTTTATTGGCCAAACTCATCAAGATTTTGAAATCTCAATTAAAACCAAGAATGAAGAAACCACTGCAAGGGGCATGTTGGGGGTGTGGGTGTGTGTTTGTTTAACTTCCGGAGGGAGAAAAAAAAAATGAAACCAAGAAGAATGGGGACTTGGTAATTGGGTCATTTTTGCACTGGTTTGCAAGTTCAATACAAGTCTCAATATATGTAAGTTCATATATATTTTTTTTTAATCTAAAACAGTCTGGATAAATGTCACTCTCCATTATTTAAATAACAGAAGGTGCACATAAGCTAACAAAGCATTAAATTTAGAAGTTCATTGCTTACTGTAAGCACTGAGGCCGGAACTGCTAGGATAGTAAGAGGAATATATGCAACAGCCCTGCAAAATCCAAGAATTATGATTTAAAAGGTAAAATCAAAAGTGAAAAAGAAAAGGTGAGAATTTTTTTATTTTTTTTGATAAGTAATAAAGAAATAAAAAGGCATTCAAAAGGGGAACGCATCCCGTAGACAATAGTGGAACCGGGGCTAAGGCCCCAAGGAATCCAAGAAAGAAATTAAATCATAAGAAGAAAAGCAAGAACTCCTCTTCACATAATTGAAGAGAGAACGAATAATAAAAAGTTTCAGCGTCGCCGTAAACAACTCCTTCCCTTCGAACATTCTGCTATTTCTTTCCTTCCATATGCACCACCATACGCAATGTGGAACAACTCTCCAAAAATCACGTATTTCTCTTCCCACACGACATCCTCTCCAAGTATGAATCAACTCCTTAGAAGAACGTGGCATTACCCAACTCATGCCAAACAACCCAAGAATAAGATTCCAACAGTCATGTGCTACAGGGTAATGCATGAGGATATGATCAATTGACTCACCATCTTGCTTACATAGGCAGCACCAATTGACAATACAATTCCCCCTTTTCCTTAGATTATCAATCGTCAGTATCTTACCCCAAACAATGATCCATAAAAAAATTCTACCCTAATTGGGGCCATAGAATGCCAAATGGTCTTCCACAGAAAGTCAAGACGATCAAAATTAGATAGACATAGGAATAAAGATCGCACTTCAAAACGACCATGGGAAGAGGGAATCCATGTCAGATCGTCACTACCTCTACCAACTCCTTCCTGCCGATACAACTGATCCAGGAAAATACAAACCTCGTTCAATTCCCAATCCTAAAAGGGACATCAAAAGTGCACATTCCACGTAATCCCACTGCTATCAAGTTGATAGCAGTCAGCTACGTAAGCTTGCCTATCAACTGCAATACTATATAGTCTGGGAAATGTACGAGATAATGGATGATCACCACACCAAATATCTTCCCAAAATCGAACACATTTGCCGTCACGAACTCTGAATCTAATATGAGAAGAGAAGACGACCCACCCCTTCTTAATGGATTTCCACATGCCAACTCCTCCCGTAAGGGTAACCGAAGAAGTAGACTAGCCACCAATCTCTTCCCCAAACCAACATGAGACTAACCTTCACCAAGGACGATGTCTTTCCCTCCCGAATCTCCACGACCATTAGCCCAAGAGAGCTTCATTAAAAGGAACCAGTCTTCTGATACCAATACCTCCCAATTTTATAAGCTTACAAACTTAATCCCATCTGACAAGATGATACTTAAATTCTTCTCCTCTTCCACCCCAAAGGAACTCCCTTTGAATTTTTTCAATCCTATCAGCAACGGAGCATAGAATTTGGAACATGGATAAGAAATATGTGGGTAAGCTTGATAGAGTGCTCTTTAGAAGAGTAACTTTACCCCCCTTAGACAAGTATTGCTTCTTCCAACCTGCTAATCTCTTCGCACACCTGTCAGTCACAGGGTCCTTACTGCCCACTCTCCTAGAAGAAATCCTTAGAGGCAGACCCAAATAAGGAATGGGAAAAGAACTCACCCAACATCCAAGAAGTGCAGCTAAAGAAGAAATATCCTGAACATTCCCTACCGGGACAAGCACGCTCTTAGCCACATTAACCTTCAGCCCTGATACTGCTTGAAAACAAGCCAGAATACACCTTAAATATCTAAGTTGAGACACATCAGCATTGCAAAAAACCAAGGTGTCATCCGCAAAGAGTAAATGAAAGATCTCCACCTGATGGACTACATCTCTTCCCACCTTGAAGCCCTTAATAAGTCCAAGATCCTCAGCACGTCGCATAAGTCTGCTTAAGCCCTCTATAACAACAAGAAAAAGGAAAGACGACAAAGGATCTCCTTATCTTAAACCCCGAGAGCACCCAAAAAAACCAGCGGGTGATCCATTCACAAGAACTGAGAACTTTACTGACGAGAGGCGAGTCTTAATCCATTTCCTCCATCTGCTTCCAAACCCCATTCTTTGCAACAAATAAAGAAAGAAATTCCAATTTACATGATCATATGCTTTCTCAATATCAAGTTTGCATAACACTACAGGAACACCACTTCGCGACCTGGAATCCAGGAGAGATTTCAATGACCTAAGCGTAACAAATGTCCAGGCAGTCACGTCCAAGAGCATTATTACAATCATAGATAAACAAAAGAATTTTTTCAACTGGGAGCAGACCTAACAATTTGACTTGAACAAACTACAAGAATTTTCTAGAACTATGACCTCTACTATACAAAACTTAATTTCATGAGCAATTTCAAACCTTTTAAGAACAACAATTAGTTGCCAATTTCTCCCCAGGAAGGAGAATGCTTTGAATCTATTTGTATTCAAAAAATCATCTTGCTCGTGTAGCTCTCCTTAGCCAAAATCTCATCCTATGTGGTTAGCCTAGAGAGATTAAAGACTAGTGGATGCAAGGAAGAAAATCGAGAACATACCTGATAACGAAACAATTTATTCTTATACCTAATTGGACAAATTTATCATAACCTCATTTATATTTCTTGTACTAGTTTGTACTTTCTTATTCTAAAAAATGCAATTAGGTACTATATATCATAACCTAATTCTAATAAATTTTCCTTGCTTTAATATTACATTTATATTGATACCCAGGAAAAAATAAATAAAAATAAAAGGAAAAAAAAAAAAAAAAGAAAAGAAAAGGAAGAAGATGCCAAAGCAAGGTACTATATAGCTTACAACATAAAGTCTTGGCCCTCTGCTATTACAGAAAACAATTTTTTATTTATTTATGTCAGATGTATTATCCTCTGTTTCTTAGTTTCTTTGGAATGTCATAAAACGTCAATGCTTCCAGAGTTCCAAAAACAGCTAAACCACAGCAAAACCATATAAAGTTGAGAATCACATCCTATTCTCTCTATTAATAGATCTAAGAGACGAAGTGGACATTTACATCCACAATGAGTAAAGCACCGAGAATCCAAGATAAAGCTACTCGCAATATATTTAACTCTTTATTTCTTCTCTCCAGATCGACCACTCCTACCCTGTGATGGTCCCGTCCATGTGGGGAGCAGGACGGGAAAACTATATACAGACCCATATATTCTTGCAAGAAAAAGAAATAAGTGGTCCCCATATATTCTTGCAAGAAAAAGAAATAAGTGGTCCCCATATATTAGCCAAACCACCACCGATCAATTGATTTTAATTTCTAATTCTAAACCCTGAAGTCAACAATTTTAGCAATTCCAACAAAACTAAGAGGAATGATAACAAATGGCACTTAAGTTTCTTAAAACCAATTAATGGACATATACAACAGATGGAATCACGGGAGCAACATTTTTAAAACAGATTTGTAGTAGCAGTTATTCAGAATCTTGAATGATCCAGAAATTTTAGTGACCACCCAATACTGAATATGAACTATAAACATGTTAAACTGTTAAGGCAAGAACAATGTGAAGTAGATTGCATAGTGAACTATAAGAGTTATCCCCTGATGAATTGATTGCAAGAAATAAATTATTAGTTGCAATATATCTGGCCTTATTTCTGATTTATACTTTTGGAATTCCAAATTTATTGATATGTACACATGAACTGCAATCAGATTGTTAAAGACAACCTTAAGACCAGTCAATCTGAATTAATGTAAGAATGGAAATTTACTGCAAAGTACAACATAAATAAATTGACATATTTGGGCATCAAGGATGACTTACAATACAAGTGGACCCCAAGGTCCAAGCTCTTCCTTAACCCATTGTAAGAAATCTTTCAAAATCTGCAATAGCAATTTCTTTCAGTAAAGAAAAACATAGATCATGAATTTTTTTTGTCACTGGAGAAGAAAACATAAGGCACATAACATACATGACAAAACATATTCCAAATCTATGAAGCAGCATCTATCACCTGCACTATGTACTAGAAAGAAGAATAAAAAAAAAAAAAAGAGGAAAAATATAATTACAGAAAATATATATATATATATATATATATAATTTATTCCTCCTCTGCCCATTTAAACCTTCTGCTTTCTATCTTTGGACTGCAAGTATTAGTTGGGTTCTCCCTAAAAACATTACCATTTTTTTGCTTCTATAAATTTCTGAGGTTGAGGAATAGTTCCATGGAATTGTGCCACTCTAGCTATCTTATGGTAATCTGCAAATAAAGTCATTTAAAAAAAATTCAGGACTTCTTTAAAAAATTCAACAATTAGTGCCTCATTTTGGGTAGATGATACTTCATAATTTAAAGATAGCACTTTTAACACCCTTAGAAGCCAAAAACCCATAATATTTCTCCTGCGCCTTCAAGCTTTTTGTGCTTGATGCATCCCCTCCTGGCCCAATTCTTCAAATGGCTTCTTTAAAATGAATGTATAAAATTGCTCCCTCCGAGACTCAAATGTCCATTGATTGACCTAGAAGAAATGATATCCAGCTAAACTTCCCTGGACTACTAGATTTAGGTGGAGATGTATAGGGGACATCCTTGGACAAAGGGCTTAAGTCTGACCCAGTTGCTCTTTCTATGTGGCTTTGAAAAGGTAAGTGACTGACCAAGATGATACACACTTAAGGAGTGAGGCTGATATGATGCAATCAAGAAACAACACATCACCTCAAGTTTCCTGTAGAGGCAATTCAATTTTCTTAGAGCTATTTGTAAATTATACTCAAATCTTTCTTGTTTTTATTTTGAACACCTAGAGAAGCTTGTTCCAGTGTATCATGTAATCCTTTTCCCCATCCTTTTTAAGTCTTCATTTGTTTTTTGTTGTACTTAAATCATACATTTTATCCTTTTCACTACACATTTTTTTCCTTGTAACAATTGCTGCCACAATTCAAAACTTTTGGGGGCATCAAGCAACATTCAAGATAAAAACAAACAAAATCCCTATTTGCATGACCAAAGAACTAAGTTCCAACAATAAAAAACAATAACAACTCTACCCCCAAAAACAATCCCCAAAAAGTCAAAAGTAATACTTCAGAGTATATATTGTAAATTCTTGTTCCAAACCCTAAAATACCAATCAGAAATTATTCAAACAAGCATTAATCTTGCATGCCAAAAACAAAGATTATTGTATAATGTGAATAAATTAAAAAAAAAAAAAAAAAAAAAATCAAGATATCCGACAAATATAATGTAATATAGGTATAGGTATAGGTATAGGGATTGAGAGATAAAATGAGGACCTTTTCGACGGGCAGAGAAATGCAAGCTCCGGCAATGGCGGCGGTGAGGAGGAGGAAGAGAGCGACGCGGAAGGCGGCGGACCAAGTGAAGGACACCGCCATTGACGATAAGATCCTCCGGCGCCAAGGCCGACAATCCTCGTCGTCGTCGTTGTTGGCGATCTCTTGCTTCAACGACGACCTTGCTCTCAAACCCCCTGCGTTTGCCAGATTTAGCCTATAGAAATGTACCCCTCGTCCTCTATATTAGCCCACACAAAACTACCCTCCTCTCGTCACTCCAAATATATCTATCTATATATGTATCATATATATATATATATATATATATATATATATATGATGTAAATGTGGGCTATATTTATCAATGTCGGTGTGAAGTTTCAGCTCAACATCATCGTCTCGTCGATCCCGCGATGATAGTTTCTTCATCTTTAGCGTCTATTCTTCCCTTCGTTTATATACTCTTCCTTTTTCTCTCTCCTCCCAGGGTCCTACTAGTAATCCCAGTAGGCCTACACGTGGCTTATGGCGATTGGTGAAACAAATTGAGAAATAAAAATGACTTGAGTCAAGTCAATGGACCACCAATGAAGAAATTAAATGTAGGGTTAATTCAACTAAAAAAAACATGTAGGGTTAAAATCATATTTTTTTAAAAAAAATCTGTACACAAATTTTGATTATCTTGAATTAGGTAGTTGCTTATTTGTCAAATTATTTAACTGTTCGAATCCTGACCTCCTTTTGTAATTTACTAACAGGCTTGTAACTTAGCGTGGATGCAATGTGCGTGATTCTCCACTAGAAAAAAAAAAGTTATTTTTTTAATATAGAAAATATATTAATATTGGAAAGAGTAGCAAAATTTACTATTATTGCATCCAAATCATAACTTAATAATTCAATTCAATTCTGCCGGTATATATCTTCGTGAGACCATTTCTATTAAATCTTCAAATAATTAAAAATAGAAGTTATAATTTTTTACCATTAATGAGTGATCTCTTTTTGAACCCACTCCTATTAAATCTTCAAATAATTAAAACTAAATGTTATACTTTTTAACATGAATGAACGACTTCTTTATCATTAATAAGAACTCTAATTTACATAATTAACTTAAACTTTTTATATTGCATTTTGATTTGGTATTTTCTAATTAAGGTTAATTTAAAAAGAGATACTCAACAAATATAGCTTAATTGAAAAATATAAATAGTGAAGAAGAGTATATATATATATATATATAATAATAATAATAAATAGTCGAGAAAAGAAAATTAGAGATAGAGAGAGAAACAGAAAATTAGAGATAGAGAGAGAAACCTATGTAATCCTTCGTTCTTTCCCTTTCCTTCTACCAACAATTCGTTTAGTTTGCTAAAATAGGAAACACAAATGGATAAAAGAATAAAGTGTAAAAGAATCTCCAACCGTGTATATATATATATTTTTATGTAAATCAGATGTGTCATCATGGATTTAGACAAAAAAAAAAAAAAAAATTATTTAATTTTAACTCCAACAGTTGTTTTATACCTTTTATGTAAAAATATATCTCCCAATAACGATTAACCATGTGTCATGCCAGGACCCACATAACTTTTACAAACTTATTTAATATATGGTTGATTCTTTAATGGAATGAGAAAGAGGGATGAAAAATAAAATATGTTGATTTAGCCGTGTAAAAATGTTGTGTATTTTACACAACCCTTTTACACATTGGTGATGTGACAATGTATCGTAACATAGGAAATGAAAAAAATTTATACATCATAAGTGGCAGTGTATATTTTACACAAATGGGTATTTTAACATACCGCTGGAGATGCTCTAATATGTATTAAAATAGAGGATATTGATGTTTTTTAAGTTATCGCTACATCAAATCCAAGATCAAATCTCAAATTTCTTTGCTCAAAAAAAAAAAAAATTAATAAAAATAATAATAAATTAATAAAAAAAACCACTACTATAAAAATCATGTATAAAATTCCTAATATGATTAAAAGAAAATCTCCAGAACTAATAAAACTTATTAAATTACCCCCCTAAACTGGTGAACGAACCGTCAAATGAATTGTAAAATGTCAAATTTTATATTGTTATTTAATATTAAATTTAAACCTGTAATTATTATTTTAAAATTATAAAAATGTTCCTTTATAATAATATTATTTAATGTTAGAAAGGTTGTTATCTTACTAGTTATCGATGACCCATTTCTCTCCCCCAGTATTATTTTTGTAATTTTAAAATAATAATTATAGGTTTTAATTTAATATTAAAGAGTAAGGTCAAATTTGATAGTTCACAACTAATTTAATGTGTCGGTCACGGATTTGGAAGTAATTTGATAAATTTTGTTAGTTTATTTTTTAATTATATTGGGAGTTTTATGCCTGATTTTGAAAGTTGAGGGAGTTTAATGATCAGGATGGATCCACGAAATTGGGTTAGTAGGGACAATTGAGCCTATGTATCATTTCATCTCATTTGCCTATTCGATATCTTACTGCTTGGATCAACAGATCAAGATTTGTCCGAATTGATGGTGAATTCAGATTTTATCAATTCCTTGTGAGCGAATTGGATTAGGTTGCCTAATCATTGATCACCCTGGTACTAAAAACTACTGCTAACTTAGAAATAATTTTTTTGTAATGGATGTTTTTGTAATGTTAGATAATTAGTTAGTTAAATTCCAATAGTTCAATCCATCAATAATTTAGATTACAAAACTCTAAAAAAAACAGATACTTACATGGAAATTAAAATATCTATACTGTCAAAGTAAAGCATCAATTGCAACTATAAGAATTCAGGATACCATTTCAATAGAAGTTTATATTGTTTTGGTTATAACATTCATATTTGAAAAATATGACAAATGGAAACGAAAGAAAGCATCCTATTGTTCACAATTATGGTTCATTTATCAACTATTTATTTGGACTATCAAATTCTAATAATATTTTCTCAACGTTAAAAATAAGAGAGTTATTGCCATGATTAAAACAATAATTACACAAATTTATTCAATTGTAGATATTCTTCAGAAAACAAAGATAAGCTCTTAACAAATCATCAATCACTATCTTTTGTTCTCCAAAATTACACAAAACCAATTGGAAAAAAAATACTCTCTGAGAGTCAAGTTGTCACATGTTACAAGTCCAAAACGATCTAAAACTCAGCTTAAATAACTTTTTGATTCAAATATGTACACTAAAATTACAAGTGTTTAGAATCACGGTGCCTTCAATTGAAATTGAATTAAATTTAGTTTAAACTTTCAACTAAATTACTCCGAAATAACTGAATTGAAGGTGGATCAACGATAAACTTACATTGGAACTTGAAATTCTAAAGTTTATGTGACATTGATGTAATGTTTGGACATGTATTCCCAAACCACGCTCACAGCTTCAAACAGTCACCAAAGTATAATAAGTGCATGCAGCAGCAAACAAACATACATAGGACGAGAGGTTTTCTATTTTCATCTAAAAGGAAATTCAGATAACTATTAATTCAAACTTACAATTCAAGCCAAGACAATACATAACCAAACAAGAAAACCATAATTTCCCAATTAACTCGGACATTAATTCAGATGCATCACAAATGAAAATGTAACATTAATTTAGATCCTTATGCGCCCTCCGCATTGAAATGTGACGGTGCACGAATCATCAACCATAATGGAGTACTGGTGTGCGGGCCTGGCAAGGAACGGGGGCAAGTGAACCAGTAGGTCACAGACACACTCGTCGTCCATGGCATTCAACCAATGGCAACACTCCTCTTCTACGGGTGTCTCATGGTGTTCGTGCCTGTGTCCATGTCTGTGTCTGTGTCCATGTCCATGCCCGTGTCCTTGTCCTTGTTCATGTCCATGTCCATGTTGGTGCACATGTCCGTGTCCGTGTCCGTGTTCAGCCGCGTCGTCAGGCGGGGAGGGTGGGGGGCCTGCAGGGTGGAATGGCAGCAATGAACAAGCATGGTTGACGAGCGAAATTTGCGAGAGGCAGAGCGGGCGAGTTGGCACGCACTCCATCTTGGGATTGAGTAGCAAGAATGCCATGAAGAGGGTTGACAATTTGAGAATCTTGGTCATACCCATTCTTGTGATCACTTTCACTAACAAATGTGAAGAACACAAGAAAGAGTAGTAATTGAATGTAGCCCTAATTGCTTCTACTTATATACTAAGGCATTCATAACCTTCTCATTTCCTCGAGTTAGGTGCTCTAGTGGGTTGATTAAAAAACAAAAAATGGAGTGACCAAGAGAGTAGTTGAAGTGATGGAGGAGTTTAGGTTCTGAAATAATTAGAGTGCCTAGCTTGTTCATTCTTTCTGTGTGAGGAGTACTTGTTTGGTGAGGTGCTAAGTGCCAATTAGGTTTTGCAATGCCAACTTTGTTTCTAGCTACCACATGAAGGAGAAAAATAATTGTAATATATCGCGTGAGCAGGACATACCCGTGTACCGAGTGAAGAAATATACCATATAATGAAATTGGTTCCATGGATTTATAAAACCTATCATAACTAATATGGTGCATTTTTATTTAGTCCGCGTTACTAATGTCGTGTTATATATGCCCAACTCATCCTATTACCGAGATATTAAAGAATGTGGTAAAGTCATTACACTTGATTATAAGATAAAAAGATTGCCGGCCAAGTTCAATGATAAAGTTCAAGCTAACATATACGAGGATGCAGACCTATATACACGTCAATAAGTCAATAATTATATGCGTACATATTGAATTAGATAATATAATTGGAGATTTAAGGCTTTCTTTAGCTAGTTAAACATTCATAGATTGAGAATTGCATGTGCTGGGTGATGGAGGTTTTTTTTTTTTTTTTAGTTGGTACTCACACACTTATGCTTTCACTGAAACTTGAACCTTTGACCTCTCTTTGAGAAGTAAGGGCATGATATCGCTAGGCCACTGACTCATTAATTGTGATGAAGTATTTTAAGAGGTGCAATAGTACCATCGCGGATTAAAAAAATAATAATAAATAAATTATCTTGCATTGTTCTAAGTGCAATATGCAAACATAAAATCCTACACTAGCTAATATGTGGAATTATTTGGCCCATTTATATAGCGTCATTTAATGATTAATGGACAATGCTTAATTACTCACTGGTGAGTAGAGTGAAACTACTCACTCATATGTGGTCTAATAACAAAATAACGCATTATCTTTAATAATAAAATAATTCACACATTTATCTGCTTTAAACGTGTTTTTAGGTGTGAATTATTTTATTATTAAATATGATGTATTATTTTATTATTTGACCACATAAAGGTGAGTAACTTCACCCTAATCACCAGGGAATAGATAACCATTATCTATGATTAATTGTCCACATTTTTGCGATGAAAAGCAAAAACGAGTTGTTGATGTGGAAGCTATTTACATATGTCCAAATGGTATCATGTAATTGGCGGATTAGTGTATGAAAAGTCAGTCCAAAAGAGGCCTTAATGGCCCGATGATCTAGACATATTGGCAATGACCTACACAGTATTTTATGATAATACTGTAATAGTAGTAGTTAATAAAGGTACCACGAGAAATTTTTCATTTTTTCTCAATTGGTAAAAAATACACTCTCCATTTACACATTTATTTTTCTCTTGAGAATATTTTTCTCATCATCCATTTTAAAAAGGTAGAAAAGATATAGACATATTTGAAAACATAATCTTGTTCAAACCTTGCGTATTGACTTGGTCCAAATAATTTCATAAAAAGCAATCAAAATCAAACCAGTAACTATTGCTTTGATAGATGGTTCCGACAAGATTTAAACTTATATTGTGTTTGCGAACAGGCTCATTGGAATTGAAATTGAAAAAATTTTTGTTCAAATTTTATAAACATTTTTCATAAAATACTAATTTGTAGGTGTCAAACGTTGATTGAGATGTCCTTATTTATAAGATTTAATGTTCACTTTGGTTAAATGAATATAGCAAGAAAGGTAAAGAAATGAAAATTTTAATTATGATTAAAAGAAAAATTATAACCATTTATTAATTTTCTCATAAAACTATTTTGATTTGTTGAGAAAATTTTATGGACTCGCAATAATACTCTTTTTCTATGATAAATTTCACAATTCTCAAAGTATAAAATGATCATTTTATTGAAAAACTATCCGTATAGCAAAATTTTATTTTTTATTTTTTTATTTTATTTTTCATGTTGGGTTTTGTGTGAGGAATGAAATACTCATTCCAACAATTTATTTGTTTGGAATGTAATTTAAATTGGAAATGGTCATTTCATTAGGAAAAAAAATCCATTCTACAACTAAAGTTACTAAACCTATGAAATGACCATTCTATTCCCAAGTAATATAAATAAAGTTACTGCCATCACCACTATTGTTGTCGCCTTCAACCACCACACCGCCTTTCACCATCGCCACCTCCACTACCACTGACTTCCACCACTATCACCTTCGACCACTGCCACCTTTATTGCCTTTTACCTCCATCATTGCCATTATCACCGTCACCATTATCGCCACCACTACTGTCGTTGTTACCACCATCATTACCTTTCACCACTGCCACCACTGTTGCCACATTCCATCACCACCACATCGCCGCAACCTCCATTGCCTTCCATTGCCGTCATCGCCTCCATTGCCATTGCCATCATCTTTCACCACCAACACCCCCGTCGACTCCCATCATTACCACTACCTCCACTGCCTTCCACCCACCACCACTGCCGCTTTCTACTACTGTCACCTCCATTGCCTTTCATCTTCATCACCTACACCATTGCCGCCTTCCACAACTACTACCACTATCATCGCCTTCCACCAACACCACTGCCACCTTCCAACACCATTACCGCTTTCCACCTCCACCATCATCTACCACTGTCGTCATTTCTTTAATATATATATATATATATATATATATATATATATATATATATAGGGACATTTTTGAGAATTTAATTTGAAATTCATTCATTATAAATTTTAAACGGGTCCAACTAAACATTAGAATGGTTATTATCATTTCATTCCTACACGTTTTATATTTGCAACCAAATAATAGAATAAGAATGACCATTTCATTCTATTATTACATACCAAATGTACCGAGTCCTATGATTGGATTTATCAGAGATATACGCAAATTGGGGGCTGTTGATTTCGTCAGATCTACCGATCCACTTGATACCGAGAAATGGATTGAAGATTTGGAAAGATATTTTGAGATGATGGACTGCACTGAGGTGCAGAAAAGGAAGATTGGTGCATTTTTTTTTATCTGGTGAGGCGCATCAGTGGTGGCAGTCAGAGACCAGGATGGTTGTGGACATTACAACTATGACCTGGGATGATTTTAAAACTCGGTTCAATGACAAATACTTTCCACAATCAGTGAAGGAGAAGAAGGCAACTGAGTTCATGCAGCTGGAAAAGAATTATGATATGACAGTCAATGAGTACGAGAGAAAGTTTACAGAGCTATCCCAATTCGCTCCTCACATTGTTGCGAATGAATTACACAAGGTCAGAAAGTTTGAGCGGGGGTTGATCTCTCATGTGAAGAAGTTTGTGGTGGGTCATCATTTTGACACTTATGCTAAAGTGGTGGAATGTGCCATGGCAGTAGAGGAGAATAATAACATTGCCTTTCAGAAACAGAAGGAGCGTAGGGCAGAACAGAAAAGTAAGAGGGCTAGCAGCTCTCAATAAAATCAGAGCAACTCTCAACAGAATCAGAGGGGTCAACAGCAGCAGGCTCAGAGAAACTGGCAAGGTCAGTCTTGGCAGAGAGGCAGACAAGATTGGCAAGTAGGGAAACGGCAGAGAGTTGGTGAAGGTGATTAATCCACAGCTTTAGTACCAGCCATGCCTCATGATACACAGCCATATCAGTTCAACGGACATTGCTACAATTGTCGTGAGCAAAGACATTTGGCTCGTAATTGTCCCAAGCCTCACAAGAATAACCAGCAGAGAGGTCAAGCACCACAGCAGCATGGAGGTGCAAGGTTTAATGCAGTTGTTCCAGATGGGAGACAGGACCGTGCACCACCAGCAGTGGAAGGTACACTTACTATTTATGGCAGTGTAGCTAGAGTGCTATTTGATTCAGGTTCTTCATATTTTTTCATTGCACTATCATTTGTGGACACACTGGGATTAGAACCTGGACATATGAGTAATGCCTTATCTATTACAACTCCACTCGGGAGCGCGACAACACTTGATAGAATATGTCGTACTTGTCCTGTTACAATTGGGGAGTTGGAGTACCTTATTGATTTGATAGTATTACATATGAGAGACTTTGATGCTATACTGGGTATGGATTGGTTGACTAGATATCATGCTCAGTTGGACTGTCATGAGAGGATTATTGTATTCTCAATTTCGGGACAGTTACCTTCTCGATATAAGTGTGGAGAGTTCGAGGGCACCATAACTATGGGATTTCTTGCACACATTGAGGTGGTTGAGCAACGCTTGACTATAGAGCAGTTGCCTACAGTGTCAAGGTATGTAGATGTGTTTCAAGATATTCTGGGTTTGCCTCCTAGGAGGGCAGTGGATTTTTGCATCGACCTCACTCCTGGTATTTCACCTATTTCTAGGGCACCCTACAGAATGGCGCCAGTTGAATTAAGTGAGTTGAAGAAACAGACTCAAGAGTTGTAAGATCAGGGGTTTATTCGACCTAGCACATCACCTTGGGGAGCACCTGTTCTATTTGTCAAGAAGAAGGATGGTCACTCCGCTTATGTGTTGACTACCATGCACTGAATAAGGTCACTATTAAGAACAAGTACCCATTGCCACGCATCGATGATTTGTTTGATCAACTCAGAGGGGCGCAGTTGTTTTCTAAGATTGACTTGAGGACTGGGTACCATCAGCTGAGGATTAGGGATGAGGATATTCCTAAGACTGCCTTCAGGACTCGTTATGGCCTCTATGAGTTCTTAGTCATGCTTTTTGGATTGACTAACGCTCCGATAGTTTTTATGGATTTGATGAACCGAGTGTTTCGACCTTACTTGGATCAGCTTGTTGTGGTATTTGTTGATGACATTCTGAT